GTCAAACTAATTGATGATCATTTTAAACACTTAAAAACTTTTTGTAATGGTAATTAGGCAAATGGTTTGGCCACTTAGTAAAACAAAGATGGATCTATTCAAAAACTAAACTAGATTTTTAGGCCATTATATGAACAAGGTAAGATTCAAACCTATAGAAAAAGCACTTGTATTTTTGGTGAAAAATTTCCTGATGAAAAATTACCTAAAATAAAACATCCAATATAACACAGCGATTTTCTTGGTTGGTTTATGAAGTTAGATGTAATTGGGATTTTTTACACCTGCATGGGCCAATTTAAATTGCATGATAAAAATATTAGCTTTTGTAAAAAAATGAACTAGTTTCCTTGGAAGCAAACGCATCAGCAGATAAGATTAATAAAAAAGCTTAAAAATACATTGGTAAGAGTGATGAAGAAGATATCCTTACTTATAATATATTCGCTTGCGATCGACTTAATGCTTTTAAATTGTTGGAACGATGCTTCTAATATTGGTTATGGAGGCATTTTAAAAACAAAAAAGTAATGGTAAAGAAAGGATAATCCAATATACTCAGGTCATTGGGACTCCAACTCAATTAAATTAATTCTACTATAAAAAAGAAATTTTTAAGTATGTTATTTGCATAATTAAATTTTCAAATCTGATTCTTTTAAAAATCAAAAAATTTTTTCTGTATTGATTGTAAATCTGCCAAAAGATGTTCTGCAGAAAATGAATGTCCAAAAACCTTGCCTCTAAACAAATTTGCTCGATGGGCAAGCACTTTTAAGTATTTTTGAATTTGACATAAATATATTAAAGGCAATGAATAATAATATTCCCAGAACTTCTAACTAGAGATTCTTAAACAGAACATGGGAAGAAAAGAAAGTAAAGGGAAAGGAAATTAAAACAAGATTCCGGCTCCCCAAACTAAAGCCTTTTCTGAGCAACCTCTGAAAGACCTTCTTAAAAAACTTAAAAACAACAAAACCACTCCTCCTAAAATCTTTAAAAAATGGATTTGAAGAACTTTCTCAATCTCCCGAAGTAATTAGCCCTGCAGGGTAGGCCATCCTCTTCCACAGAAGGAACGCCAGGTAATGTCTTTCTAATCTAAAGAGCGATCGTATCGCTCAATGATAGGCTATCTGTCTCAAACGGTAGACAGTTAAAGAGTTTATCAATCATTGATGGCTGTGGAATTGCAAAAAATCCAATATAATCTACTGGTACTATACATAAATGTGATAAAAATTTATTTGATTTTGAAAATCGAAGTTGAGGATGGATATAAATCATAACCAATCCTTGCAAATAATAAAACTAATTATCCTGAAGAATTGGTTTTTTATGCCTACAAACTTAAATCAAAACTCTGCAGGCTTATTATAATAATATAATTAGATACTGATTCAGTAAAACATCAAACCATCTTTTGGAAAAAATATATAATATTTATTCTTCTATATATAAATATAAACGCGTCATCCACTCCTAAGGATGGCCCGTATCTCTTTAGTAACACCAGTAAAAATTTAAAAGATTACATAAATATTAATATCGAGTTTATAATTATTTTGATTATAAAAAAGCGTGGGATAATTCGATATTTTGTCTTCAAAATCCCACAACTACTCATTCATGGTTAATATATTTTGGATCAAATATACGCACTGATTTAAAGGAAATCCCAAATTGGTTTAAACGATGGTGGCAATTTAAGGGAATTTCATGAAGAAATCATTCCTCATGATATCCCTTTATGTTGTTTCAAATTTCTTTAAAACCAATTATAAACCCAAACCTGAAGAAGTTCATATCCTTCCTTGATGTATTCATTGTATGACCTTCTTCACTCCATGGGTTATCAATGGTTATTTTGGATTATCAGTATGTTCCAGGAAGTCAACATTCATGAATAAATAAAAAGACATAAAATAAAATGTGGGGATCATTCAAGAATTCCACCACTGAACTAAAATTAAAGCCAATGGATCGCAATAAATTATCAGCCATCTAAACCAGCTTTAACCTATGCCCATACATTAGCTATTCAAGGATAACCCCCAAGTTTGGTATCCAAAAAGCCCAATGTCAGGCCCCGGTTTAGCTGCAGCCAAACAACCAGAAGAATATAGATTGATCTGTCAAGAGATGTCTGAACAACTTTCAACATTTCAAATCAGGCCCATAAAACCATCCACCAGTAAAGCCCAAAAGTACATTCCTCCCAGACTTTCAACCAGTACAGATAGTCCAGTAAACCACTCTAGCAATCAACCGAATAAAGCATCATCCAGTAAAAATTCATCCAAGCACAGTGGTAAAAGCAAGCCAAAACGATGGGCATCGTTATCATCTTCTTCGTCCTCTTGCGAAGATAGTGATAGTGATGAAGAAACCATTATAAAAATAAAGAGCAAAGCAAGTCAAAAGCAAAAAGATAAAGTCAAGGAAGACAAAGCTAAAGGAAAAAGAAAAGAAAAAATAAAAAGAAAAGCAAAGAAAAAGGACACGTCAACTTCTTCCTCCTCATCATGTTCCGACACATTGTAAAAAAGGTATTTGCAACAGTAAAAGTCATCTTCAACAGTAAAGGCCAAGGCATCTCCAACAGTATAAAAAGCCAAGGCATCTTCCAAACGCAAAGGCCAGGCATGCTCCAACAGTTAAGGCCAGGGCATCTCCAACAGTAAAGGAACAAGGCATCTTCATCTACCTCAGCCAGTGGCAGACAAAGAACTATTCATTAATAGTAAAGATTCGCCAATTTTCCTATTAAAAGGGAGCCTCTCCCCTTGTGAAGGCAGAAGTTTTTAAGTTTTAATTCCTACCTATAATCCCCCTCTCCTTTAGTGCTCCTAGTTCAAGTTGTAAGAGTTCAAGTTGGAGAAAGTTTAAAGTAAAATTGTTGTAAGTTTTAAATCTTGAATTTGTATTTTGTAATTAAATACAGTTTGTATTTTATTTTAAATTGCTACGAATATAAGTCCGTGTTTACGGCACCTTTCTATTCTCTCTCCACACTCTGACTTAATTCTGGGGATCCCAGTATTCTGGGATCCCAGGTTAAGGTTGCAGGAAACCTAAAACCTTAATTAAAATAAATTAATTAAAATTGGTTGAATTGATTGACAATTTATTTGGTAAATTGATTTTGTTTGTGAATCAAAGTTGATCTTCCACATCAGAAATATTGTGTAAACTGTATGTTGATTCTGAAGTAAAATTATACTTAATGAATTATATAAGTATTCATATAAACCCAATTAGTCATAGTATTTTAGTTCACAGTTATGATTTATCTTTAAATGTTTGTATCTGTATTTATTTAAATCCTATTAATAATCTTAGTGCTATACATATATATGACTTGTAACTCTTAAGTCTTTGTTGGTTTTGTTTTCAAAGAGACGATAAAAATTAAAAAGCATAAGTCTTTAAAGTCGTTTGTCATAAAGTCATAAGTCATTGTTTTTATAAGTCTTTAGTCTTTGTTAGGGTCTTTTGTCTTTGTTAGGGTCTTTTGTTTTGTTTTGCTTTGTAACGTGTTTTTGTTTTAAATTCAAAGTCTTTAGTCTTGTAAGTCTTAAGTCAATTTTGTTAAAGTCTTTTAGTTGTTTAGTCTTTAATTCTTATTGTATTTAATTATAAAAACGATCCAAGTCTTTTGTTGGTATATATATATATATATAATAAAGCTTTTTTTCATTTCCTCTTTAGATCCTTTTGTTATGATTTTGGCTATAAGAATTCTTAAAATTTTTTTACATTTATATATTTTTTGGACGATATATATATTCTAAAACGCTCAAGGATATTAAAATTTAAATTTCTGATATTAGATACGAAGATTACTTTTAACAATTTTTAAATGGATTATATTTTATATACAATTGAAACTGCTTTTTTTAATCTTATCTATTTTTAAAAGGTTATATATAATTAAAAATGTCTATTTATTTTTAAAAGGTTATATATAATTAAAAATGTCTATTTTTTAAAAGTATTTATTTGAAATTAATTTTTTTTTTTTTTTTTTTTAAAACTCATCTTATCTATGTATCATCGACTTTTCATATATCTATTAAAATTTTTTCTTTTATTTTTCTATATATTTGATAGATATGTGTAGATAATTAGTACTTTAATCTTCTTTTCTTTTTTTAAAAAAGATTATCTATATTTATAACAATATCTAAGTGTCTTATCTATATTTTATATCAATCTACATGTATCTATATATTTGTATCAAGCTAAAAGCATACATAAAGTATTTTATAACTACGTTATTTCATTATTTATTCAACTTTTTTTTTTAAAAAAAAAAATGGTATACACGTTGCTTCATCAATTTGAGCTCTACAAAAAATGATTGTGCAATAATAATCTTGGATATGATTTTGATGATGAGAAAGTAGTATATGAAGCTTTCAAAAATTTGAAATTAATTTAATAATTTTGGTTTGCTTTTTTTTGAGTTTTCAATTTGATTTTATTATATTTAATTGTAAAATAAATATAATTTATGGTACAATATACCAAAGAATCAATTTAAAATATATATTGGATGTACAATATACCAAAGAATCAATTTAAAATATAAATTGGATAAGGGGTTCAAATTTGCAAAAAGAAGTTATTCAAGAGATTAACAATTAAAAACATTGGTCGCAATGTGCTCAAACAAATGGTTATTGTTTCATATCTTCTACTGATAAATTTAATTTATATAATATTTATAAGTGTGTATACTCTCATTGTGTGGTAAGATAGGTTGCTCAAAATCCATTTGAATATAATTAAACTTTGAATTATTTATAAGACGTGATTTATATTTTAAAAAAATGTTACATGTATTATATAATTAATAAATCATAAATTATACGAGGCTCTTCACCAAATAATTAATAATCATCAAATATCAACCGATAAAACATTATTTTTTATTTTTTTTATTAACTTAATTAAAAGTAACTGTTAACCAATATCAAGGTTCATAATAATTAAGAACAAAAAGAAAGAAAGAGTGAAGAGACATGGAAGAAGAGTAGCTCTTGCAAACAAGAATTGGAAAAAGATTACCAACCAAACCATTGACTAGCCCATTTTCTCTTCTGCCTTGCTCGCTTTCTCTTTGGATCTGAGTCTCTCTTTCAAATGGGAAACAATCCATTCTTATTTGCCCCTACAGATTCCTATTCTCAACCATCATTACCGTCATCGTCGTCATCACAGTCGCCGTTGCAATCACCATCGCCGTCATCTAATTCATGTTCTTCACGTCCATCTTCCGATTCTTCTCCAAGTCTTAATTCTCCTTTGCAGCCTTCTCAACAAAGTCTTCCTCAACTGCCTTCCCATACTTCTTCAAGTCATTTTGATCCGCCTTCTGCGGCTGTTGTCGGACCCTGTGCCGCATGCGAAATCCTTCGCCGGCGATGTACTGATAAGTGTTATTTAGCTTCTTATTTTCCTCCAACTACTGAACCAGATAAATTGAACATCATTGATAGTGTTTTCGGTGTTAGCAATACGGTCAAGATCTTGCAGGTATTTATGATTTAAATTACTCTTTAATTAGAAATAATTATATGTAATTAGAAATAATTATATGTCAATTACATATCGAATAAGTTATCTATCACAATTCACAAATGTTTATTTATTTATTTAGAGATCCCTTATTTTCATGATCTCATTTATTAGGATCACAGTTAAATTTATGAATAAATACTAAAGAGATTAAAGTACCCTTAGCTAATTTCAGTATAAAACCTTTATTTCATAATAATTGTCATATTTGATAAAATAGCTTGTTTCAAAATACTTATTACATTTGTGGTTTCAAGAAGTAATAAATACATTGTTTTTTCATATTTACTCTTTGTATATGACTAATAATTGCTATTTCAATTTAATGGTTTTTTTTAAGAATTAGTATTAAATTAAGCGTAATATAGTCAATTTACTCGATAATTTATTGTAATTTAGACAAATTTAATGAGTTTCTTAAGAGATGTGAATTTTAAACGTGATAAGTATTATAGTACAGAAGTAACAGTTGATTAAAATAATTGTTTCTAAGATTTCTCCCATACACAGCATATCATGCATTAATTCTCGATATATTTATTTTCGGAAAATGAATTAACATTGTTTTATTATTTTTCTTTTTAATTTTAGCTAAAGACAGGAGCAGACATTTGGTTGAATCAGGTTCAAATTTAATTAAATCGGAAAAATCAAACAGAATTGAAATGGTTATAAAATCAAATCAAATTGAATTAGTTTGATTTTGGTTTGGACTGAAATGTTTTTAAAATGTGTTTATTAAGCGGTAGGTTGCCTATAAATCAAATCAAATTGAATTAGTTTGATTTTGGTTTGGACTGAAATGTTTTTAAAATGTGTTTATTAAGCGGTAGGTTGCCTATAAATTAACCGACAGTTTGCTCAAAATCATTGGTAGCATATTTTCGATTCGTGAAACCGAATTTGTTTAATACAGTGAGTTATGGATAAAAGTATCAAAATACTTAAACTCATAACTTGCTCAAACTCATTATATATAGTAATTTTAATATTTCGTGTCCATCTTAAATCCGTTTATAACTATTTAATTTGCACTAATTGTGTTGGAGTGGATTATTCAATATACTCATTCCGTTCTTTGCTTAGTTTTGTGAATATTTATATTACATTTAAATTTAGTTAAATTTCAATATACTACCCATGTTCCATAATAATTATCACATTTAGAATTTCACGTTCCTTAAAAAAAATTGTTAAATTGTTTAAGTTACAATAAATTATTGAGTAAATTAACTATATTACTCCTAATTTAATACTAATTCTCTAAGAAAACTAGTAAATTGAAGTAATAATTATTGATCATATACAAAGGGTAAACATGGAAAAAAAATTTATTATTGCTTGAAACCACAAATGTGATAAATATTTTAAAACAAACTATTTTCTCCAATGTAATAAATATTATGGAACAAAAGTAATAATAATTAATTACTTTGATCATGCAAGTACTCTCCATGACCCGCTGGAATCTCTTTGATCATTTTAATAAAAATGCCAAATTATTATTATTGTTATACCTCAAAATTTTTGGATTTAAATTTAAATAGAAGTACGTGAAGACCCGAGGATTGCGTTGTCACTTCACTGTTATATTATATTATATATTGTTGGACAAAATAGTTTTATCCAAAGTTTTTGATAATCAAACAATTATGTGCTACTAATGATTTCAATTTAGCGTTCCTGATTAATAGATTACTTCTTAAGATCATCAGGAGTTGATTTATAAGATACAGTTGAAGAGAATCCATTTATGCCAACAAAAATTGTGGATGACACTAGAGTTTCTCAGCCAACAATAGAGTGGAATGGCAAGGAAGAAAGTAGCTCTCAACGATGAAGGAATCAATGTTCTCTCTCTACAAGAAAAATGTAGTTTAGACGCGCTGTAATCCATTGCTAATTAGCAATATGCAATACCAAACAGAATGTACCTAAAAATCTCATATTAAATCTAGAAACGGATTAGAAAAGGATTAAGAACGAATTATAAATGGATACATTAGAGACGGATTTCGTCACTAAATTTTGCGAGAAAATAAAACGTGTAATTTATAAATGAATTACCAACGGATTAGAAATGAAAATATCATATGTTTCTATATTTCTAAGGAAAACCGGACGATGCATTGAAACGATAGGTAACCAATTTTAGAAATGGATTGAAAGCAATAACAAGATTCTCAATGCTTTATTTTGCTATCTAATTGATTTTGAACCAAATTCATATAATTCTTAAAGCAATTTAACACTTTCCATTTAGGAGATATCGAGTAGATATTAACTGAAAAAAGCAAAATCATTAATAAGCGTGATCTAATGCAATGTCCAATATTTGGCAAAGTATCTTTAATGCTCGTTAGTTAATTGAGGAAAAATTATGTTGGTTAGTTGGGAATGGTGCTCAAATCCGCATTTCGAAAGACAAGTGGTTGTCGACCGGGTTTATTCTCCGCACTCTTTCTTAAATTTTAATGCTATGGTTAGTGAGTTAATTGACCATACTACACATACTTGGAGAACTGACCTTTTTCATTCTATTTCTATTCCATCTGAGGCTGAGATGATTTGTAGTAGTCTATTGTATAGTAGGAGGGGTTTGGATTTGTTTATTTGGCCTAGAAACAAAAATGGGATACGTATCATATGGCTCTTCATACATCAGCTTTTAATGGTGAAGAGTTTTCTTCAATGTCTCAAGATCATATTTTTTGAAAAGAAAAAAAAAAATGGAAGAAATCCCACCTAAGGTGAAGCATTTCACTCGTAGCGCATATGCCAAAACTACCTCCCCACTCAATTGAATCTTGCAAGAAGAGGGGGTGAGCTGTTATCAAGGTGTAGCAGATGCGGGATTGTTAATTTGTGGAGCATGTCATTCTAAAGTACCCGATTGCCAAAGATATTTGGATGTTGTGCCCATTAATTAAGGTTTCGTGATCAAATAGCTCAAGAAAGTTTCGAAGCCTGATTTTATGTTTATCGAGCTAGCAACAAAGTAGCTCATTTCTTAGCTAAGAAAGCTCTCTCTTCTAATTACGAAGTGCTCATGTGGATTAAGGACGCGTTCTTTAGTTTTAGATGTTCTTGTTTAGGCTAATTTAGCATATATCCTTTTCTTAATGATTATTTTTAAGTTTATCCTAAAAAAAAAATTATAATTTTCCTTTTAAATTAATAGTTCTTAGAAGCATGCATATCATAAATTTAGAATGGAACGAGTCAATCATCCACTTTGATATCTTATTGAATAAAAATAGCGATATTATTCTTCTATTAATCAAAAATTTCGATTTTTGGAAAATATCATGATCATCCACTTCGATTGTTTTGTGAAACCTATGTATTCATTTGGTTACTTAAATTACACATTTTAGAAGCTAATTACAAGAACTCATAAACTTAGTTCTTGCTTCATCCAAATTTAAGACAAACATCTTATTGGTAAGTTTGGTGGCAACTGTGGTCAGTGAAGATAATGACATGTGATAATTGTTAATTAGCAATAGTGACAAAGTTCCTTAAAATTTATGAGCGAAGTCTAGATCCAGAGAGGTGAAGAAACAACCATACACAAGTAGGTAGTAGAAGAAGAAATGTATTCACGGATTCAATCAGTGGCACAGCCATAATCTTTATAAAACTCTATTTTGAGAAATGTGTACATTGAAACGTATCCTACTATTTTTTTATTTTAATTTATACAGATTTAAAATACTTCTTAAACACTTTAAAAAAAATTTAAAAATTGTATAAAATTTTTGGATAAATTTATTAATAGAAATTTTAAATTGAATTTTTAAATAATATTTAAAATTAAAATTAAAATTCTTGTTATTATTTGTAAATTCATTATATTATTGATTATATTTAAATTCAAAAATTGATTATAAATTTAAAGCTGATTTTACAAGGGTGCCAAAACGGGATACACACACACACACACACACACACACACATGTGTGTGTGTGTGTTATTTCTATACGATTCAATTTATTTTTCTTAAATTTATTTCATAACTCTAAATCCCAAACAATTGAAAAATGAGGCGTGTTTTTTTTTTTTTTTTTTTTCTAAAATCCCAAACAATTGAAAAATGAGGGCGTGTTTTTTTTTTTTATTTTTTTTTTTTTTTTTTTTTTTCAACAATGACGTTCATAAATTTCACCGCGTCTTTTGTGTTGACATATCACATCTATGATATGTTGGTGCAGCGCGTTCGTGTTCGTGTGTCTCTGTATTGTCCTCTGTGTATTCGTCCCTGCTCACAAGGAGCTGCGCCTTAACGCGGTAATATTTCATACTTCAAAAGCATTAGCAGACCAAAATTAAAAAATAAAACACAGTACCATTGCATCTTCTCTTTCTCTCTCTCGCAAGCTTTGTCTTTGGGTCTGACAATCTCTGTCAAATGGGTAACAACCCATTCTTATTTCCGTCTACAGTTTCCTATTCTCAACCATCGTTACCGTCGTCACCATCTTTTAATTCATACATACCATCTCCATCTCCATCTCTATCTTTTGATTCATATTCTCCATCTTCTCCAAGTCTAAATTCTCCTTTTCAATTTTATCAAAGTCTTCCATCACCGCCTTCCCAAATTTCTTCAAACCATTTCGGTACCCCTTCTGCGGATGCTGTTGGACCTTGCGCGGCCTGCACAATCCTTCACCGGCGATGCACAGATAAGTGTTATTTAGCTTCCTATTTTCCTCAGGGTGTTGAACCACACAATTTTACTGTCGTTGATAGCCTCTTTGGACTTAGCAATGTCGTAGAGTTGCTGCAGGTATGATTTTAATTACTCTTTAATCTGAAAATAATTATGTGCCGTATATATATAATTTTTCTATGAACGAAAAATGAATAGAACTGATTCAAAGAAAATGATTCAAAGAAAAGGTATTGTTTTTATTGATCAATTATATATTTTATAAAATAAAAAAGTTTTTTCATGTTCGAATCAATAATGCTCATGGAAAAAAATTAATTATTTTTTATATTTTTATTTTTCTAAATTAGACATGTTGACAAATAGCATTATAAAGATTGTATACTACATTAATACGTTTAGCTTTTTACCACTTCCCATTCGATCACTACCAGCCGAGGGAACAAGTCAAAATATATTTTCATTATTTTTCATAATCTTCATAAATATGTTTCATAGGACATATATATGGGATTCTGCATATTATTGACATTGGTTTCATATTGACGTAATTGAAATATAATTTAAATAGTTGGAGACCCAATTTGAAATGAATATTTTCAACCGAGTTTATGGGGAACACAAATAAAACCAATGAAAATTATGTGAGATTCTATATAAATTTTTTTTACAATCTCCAAAAAATTATTATTACTATAGTCCAACATTGTTATGTTTTTTAAATCAATTGAATCTTTTTAGGTTCTACCATTTATAACACGCTAACTTTGCCCAAATTGGTCGTAATAATCACAAAACTTTGAAAAATATTTAGGCTGTAAGTTGTAAATTTGGAAATAAGTCGGTCAAAGTTAGAGAAAAATTTCAAAAGGTCAATGGATCCACATACAACCATATGTTTATGTAATATTGGTTTGCTATTCGATGTAGGACATCCTACATGAATCACCGCTTGTGTCAATGAGTTCTTGGTTTAAATTTTGGGAACCTGAATTAAATTTGCACGCTAAAGAGCAGAAAAAGGAAAAGTATTAGCCCACTAGTTTGATAATAATTTGTTTATTTTGCAGCAGAATAAGCCAATTCTTTGTCTTACCGTTCCACTTATTATTGTTGTTGGAGGAGAAACACAAGTAAAGATGGAAGTCAACTCCAGCAAATCCCAGCAAGATTTAGCAATATTGCTTCAACTTGCGAACTCCAGTTTAATATTAATGGCCAACCCATGCTTGCCAATTTTGAAAAATTCAAAAGCCTCGCATTCATACAATAGTTCTTCAAAGCCTCCAATGATGGTTTGGAACTAATCACGCTGGCACTCTTACATCTCCAGTGAATAAGTTTGGGGGATAATAATGATCTGAATTTCAGGTTAATAAGGTAGATGAATCTCTAGAGGTTAATGTTAATTCCAAGCCGACAAAATTGTAATGGATAGTAAATTTCACATTTTGCTCATTCATATAAGCACTTCTTCAAAGCACTCTTACATCTGCCAGCAAAAGATTGGTGATAATAATGTTCTTCAATTGCAGGACTGATATGGAAGATGAATCTCTGGGTTTTTAATTTATGGTGGATTAAGTGTCAGTGAGAATTTAGTGCAAGGCTTTGGATGAAGAACATGAGAGCGTGAAAGAACTGGGATGTTCTTCTGGTTTTCACACTTGCCAATATATATAACACAAACTTTCAAGGCATAAAAAGCATAGTGCCTAAGTAGTTCAATCACATAAAAAGAGCCAATGATTTTAAAGTCGAACACCATCCTTGAAGAACATTCATCACCGATTACTGATGTTCGTTTTAGTCCAAGTATGCCACATCTCGCAACATCTTCATTCGATAAAACTGTCAAGGTCTGGGATACAAATGATCCCAATAAATCAATATGCACATTTACAGGACATTCTACTCCTATCATGTCAATAGATTTCCACCCATTTAAGGATGATCTTATTTGCTGTCAATAGATTTCCACCCATTTAAGGATGATCTTATTTGCTCTTGCGATGCAGATAGTGAACTGCGTTACTGGAGTATTCAAAATGGTACTTGTCTAAAAATATCAAACGGTGGTACAGCCCAAATAAGATTTCAGCCGCGTCTAGGGAGGTATCTTGCTGCTGCTAATGAGAATGTTGTAAATATCTTTGACGTTGAGACACAGGCTCGTGTGAGTTCATTTCAGGGACATTATGAGCCAATTGACTCTTTATGTTGGGATCCTTCTGGACAGTATCTAGCGTCTGTAAGTGTGGACTCAGTTAGACTCTGGGGTCTCCAGTCAGGGAGTGTATTGAAATGTGTTCATGTCTTGAGTTGTGTTGGCAACAAATTTCAGTCCTGTATTTTCCATCCTACAGACCCTTCTTTGCTAGTCATTGGTGGTTACCAGTCCTTGGAGCTCTGGAATATGGCTGAGAAAAAGTCTATGACTCTGCCTGCTCATGAAGGATTAATTAGTGCCTTAGCTGTATCACCTTCGACAGAGTTGATTGCTTCTGCTAGCCATGATAAGTTTGTCAAGCTTTGGAAGTAACCTAATCATACAATACGCTTTTAATGTAAATCCATAATTCTCTTAGCAAAAAATTTTAGTACTTACAATATTAAAAAAGTTATTTTTTCGTTTTTGTTTTAATTTATATAGATGATAATTATGCTAATATTACTATCAGTTATTACAATGTTGCATTATTTTATTTTACTGTAAGTGAACATTAGAAGAGCTATAACTATAATTGATTATATAATAATTAATTTTATTGCAAGAGTATTTTATATATTAAAAATTTTATTTATATATAATTTTATTATATAAATATGTTAAAGTATATAATAGATTTTGATGGATAGCATGTGTCATAGCAGTTCAAATCTACGATAGATAGTTAATTTAATATTTATACATGTCCCAAATTCATTTGTTAATATTTAAAATTGCTGAAACTCTATGCTGAATTTGTTAATATTATTTTTAAATTGATTAATGATTTAATTAATTTAAATTATACAATACCCTTTACTGGTTATTTTTCAATTAATTATTTTAAAATTATTACCATTTTATATTTTTACCCTTATGCTATAAAAACAATCAACTCCAACATTTTACTAAGGTATTGCATCTAATTATATTTAATTATAAGCTAAATCATAAAAAAATCTCAAAATTTAAGCGTAGTTTTAATTGTAATTTAAATTTTTTTTTTTCTAATATTTTGAACTTCAACTTTAATTATAATAGCATCATAATTTCAAATTATACCAAATTTACTTAATAAAATATTATTTTCGTGAAACTCATATTATGTAGGATGATTTTTTTTTACTGCTTCAGAAATAAAATATTTATTATATAAATATAAAATAAAAATTAATATATTTATCTTTAAAATAAAATATTATTTAATTTATATAATATTGTATTTATTTATATAATATTGACAACAAGTAGTGATTCCTACAAATAAATTGACGTCACAACGAATAAAATTTAGTTTTATAAGAGATCTAATTTAAATATAATTTCAATAAATCAAAACTAAAATTTCATGCTTAAAAAATAGCAAAACAAAAAACTTAAACCCGAACTAAAAATCATGTTTAAAAACACAATAAAATAAAAAACTTCAACTCATATTCTATGTTTATAATTAACTTAAGTATAAGGGAAACATATTTCCAAATTTGCGTTCAAATGGTATAGGTCCAATGAAAATAATATTTTATTTATTAAATTGGGTTTAATTAGAAATTATAATACTGTTGTAACTAAAGTTTAATTTCAGGGTATCAGTAGAAGAAAGTTAGATTTATAATACAATTAAAACTATTATGAGATTTTTTTAATGATTTAGCCTCTATATTGTTATAATATTTGTTTAGAAGTATTCTAAAGATACGATATATCCATGCATTTTTATGGTCTGATATTATAATTTTTTAAATTATTAAGAAATAAAAATCATAGATTTAGAAATATTTTTCCTTCTCATTATTTGCAAGTATTAATGATAATTATATAAATATTATAATCAGTAAACCTTCTTAAATAAAATAATAATTGAATAAATTAATTTATAGCAAATTTATTAATATGGATGTTTTGGTCTTTGGTCTTTCTATTAATTCTTTATTCTATTGATTCTATTATTTTTAGCGACTAAAAACATTAATATAATCTAGAATAAGAATTTAATTCTCCATTTCATCCCTCCTTCCCAACTAAAGGTGGCCTTACTTTTAAGACTCCATGCTTAAAAAGCATTAGCAAACAAAAATTTTAAGAAGGCACCACCATCTATTCCATTATTGACCCAGTTTCTCCTCTCTCGCTAACCCTAGCTTCAAATTTCTCCTCTCTCGCTTAGCTTAGCTTCAAATGGCAAAAAACCCATTCGTATTTCCCTCTACGTTTTCCAATTCTCAATCATCAATTCCATCTTCTTCTTCTTCTCCGTCACCATCTTTTAATTCATACTCTTCATATCCATCTTCTCCAAGTCTGAATTCCCCTTTTCATCCTTCTCATCAAAGTCTTCCCTTACCGCCTTCCCAAACTTCTTCAAGCCATTTCAGCTTGCCTTCTAAGGATGTTGTCGGACCTTGCGCCACTTGCAAAATCCTTCGCCGGCAATGCACCGACAAGTGTTATTTAGCTTCCTATTTTCCTTCAACTACTGAACCGCATAATTTCACTGTCGTTGATAGTCGCTTCGGACTCAGCGATGTCCACGAGTTCCTGCAGGTATGATTTTAAATTGCTCCTTAATTAGAAAACAGTTATATACCATTGAGTTCATCATTATCTATTTCTTGGTGTGTCTATTGGGACGGAATTATCATAATTTGAGCCCGATGCTGGCTAGATTCCATTGCAATGAATTTGTAAAATCTTGTACAATTGATTTAGAATTTTACATTTTCTAGTTGGTATGATTGACTTTAGTTCTATGAAGTTGAAAAGTTACACCAAATTTCATTTTTTATAAATGAATTCTACGTCTTCGAGTCATTTAACCAATTATGGGTAGTGTGGCTTTGGAAAAATTCAAAGCTATACCTCAATGAAGCTATACCTCAATGAAGTTCAAATAAAATTTTGTTAATTTTATTAATATCAGATTGAATTTAGGAATCGTAATGAAAATAAATTGCGAGTTCAGGTAGTACTTGACACAATTAGTCCACTCTAGAATTAGTCTTTTTCAGAATGAGATTAAATTTGCACATCATGAGTTAAAGAAAAAGTGTTAACATGAGTTTGATCACAATGTTGTCTATTTTGCAGCTCAACCGCAATTCTTCATCTTACGTTCCACTATTATTGTTGTTGAGAGACACAAGTAAAGATGGAAATCAGCTCCAGGCAAACCCCAGCAACGGTAGCAATATTGTTGCAATATTGTTCCATATCGAACTAATGTTAATATTAATGGCAAACCCATGCTTGCCAATTCTGAAAACTCAAAAGCCCATTCATACAGTAGCTCTTCAAAGCCTCTAAATATGTTTGGAACTAATGATACAGGCGCTCTTACATCTCCAGCAAATCAGTTAGGGGGTAATAATAATAATAATCTTGTATTGCAGGCTGATATGGTGGGTCTAAATATGCTTGGGGGTAATGTTGATCAAAGTGATAAAGTTGCTCGTAAACATGATACTGAAGGGTTTACATTCATTGATGTAAATTCTGTTCGAGCAAGTGGATCCAAAGTACTTTGTTGCGACTTCTCATCAGATGGAAAATTGCTTGCCAGTGGTCAGTTGGTGGAACATGGATAAACGTGGTATTGTGGGATACAGCAAGAGAGAATTTAAAGATCGAAGACCAGTCGAAGACCATCCTTGAAGAACATTCATCGCTGATTACAGATGTTCGTTTTAGTCCAAGTATGCCACAGCTCGCAACATCTTCATTCGATAAGACTGTCAAGGTCTGGGATACAAATCATCCCAATAACTCAATACGCACATTTACAGGACATTCTACCCCTATCGTGTCAATAGATTTCCACCCATTTAAGGATGATCTTATTTGCTCTTGCGATGCAGATAGTGAACTGCGTTACTGGAGTATTCAAAATGGTACTTGTGTAAAAATATCAAAGGGTGTGACAACCCAAATAAGATTTCAGCCGCGTCTAGGGAGGTATCTTGCTGCTGCTAATGAGAATGTTGTAAATATATTTGACGTTGAGACAGAGGCTTGTGTGAATTCATTTTTGGGACATTATGAGCCAATTTACTCTTTATGTTGGGATCCTTCTGGAGAGTATCTAGCGTCTGTAAGTGGGGACTCAGTTAGACTCTGGTGTCTCCAGTCAGGGAGTGTATTGAAATGTGTTCATGCCTTGAGTTGTCCTGGCAACAAATTCCACTCCTGTGTTTTCCATTTCCATCCTAATACTTCTTTGCTTAGTCATTGGGTGTTACCCAGTGTTATGGGGCTTGGAATTATGGCTGAGAGCAGGACTATGACTCTTGTGCTGCTCAGAAGGATACATAGCTGCCTTAGCTGTATTCACCTTTGACAAGCTTGATTGCTTCTGCTAGCCATGATAAGCTTACAAACTTTGGAAGTAATATAAGCATCTCTCTAAGCATTTTTATAATTGTCATTTGACTATTTTCAACTTAAAAATTCTTTTTTTTTCTTTTTTTTGAAAATGCCAAAGGTAGAAATTTATTAATAATGGTTTGATTATTTGACTTCGAAGTCAATATGTGAGATCTTATCCCCGTCCAATCTGCAGGGAAAAAAAAAAAAAAAAAAAAAAAAAAAAAAAAAAAAAGAAGAAGAAGCACTCCAATTCCTCCCATCTTTTCAACAATCAAATTCAACTCTTTCTTTTAATGTAACTAAACTGAAAAAAAATCATCAATTTTATAATTAAAACATCGTCCTAGATCAAGCCATTGTTAGATGAATTCTTCTCTTTCTTTTAATGTAATCAAACTAAAAAAATTCATCAATGTTATAATTAAATTCCAAAATCAATCAATTATCATATCAAAGAATATTTCAAAAATGAATATTCAAAAACCTTTCTTTTTGCTATCAGATACCTGTCAAGGTCAACTCTATTACTGTCTTCTTTAATAAAACTAAAAGAAAATGGAATAAATCTCAATTTTCCCCCTAAATTTAAAAGTAATATACAATTTACCTACAAATTAACTTTTTATAGAATTTACAGTTAAAATTGCATTAGAACAAAAAGCGTATTTTTTTTTAAAAGTAATGTTTTATATTTTAACTAATAAAATTATTTTAAAAGTTTAAAATTAGGAAAGAAACGTATAAAATTAGAAAATTTTTTGATAATATTGAAACATTTGATTACAAAAGTATTTATTATTTTCTGGTTTCATTATTTTTTAATTTTATTTATTTAGATTCAATGTTTAATTATTTTTAATTACTTATGATTTACATCAAATAATTTATTTTTTTATAAAAAATCGAGCATTTTGCATTTTTTGGGGTCCTTTATTAGTGTCTTTTCTTCAACAAGACATGTATGAGGTCAAAATTAACAAGAAAAAAATAAGTTTAAAGTATTGACTCACAAAGTCAAAAGAAGTGACCAAAATTGAAAACAAACTCCAAAGTTTAGGTTTTTTATTTTTATTTTTATTTATTATTATTTTTTTAATCATTAGGCCTTTTTTGATATAATTATGCGGTATGTCCATGTGGTTTTGAGATGGTAATATGTGGATCTCACTAACAACCATGTCAAGCGAGCTTCTAACACTTCTTGAAAGGAGGCTATTGTTGCTACAAAAACTAAGTTCAATGCTGTAATTGATAAAATTTAAAAACAAAAGGGCCAAAATTGAAAAAAACTTATAAGTTTAGGCTTTTTTGAAGTCATTAAGCCTAATGTAAATTGTAAATTAAATAAATTTATAAATTAAATAAATTTATTTAAAAATCCTATTAGTAAATAATATAATACTTCATCTATTAAAAATTGTAAAAAAAATAAAACAAATGTGCGTGTCTATATATAGGAAAAAAATTAAATTTAATTGAGATATAATTAAATTAGAAATACGAAAATATTATTTTATCTGGCTTGACTTATATAATTAGATATTATAAAAGGGAGAGACTAAGCCAAGCTTTAGAGTTAGATATTTTAAATTTTTTAATTAAAAGAAAAAGGCATTGCATTAAAAAATTAATGAGATGTCATGTATATTTAGTATACTTGTCATGTATATTTAGTATACTTTTAAATTAATTATATAAAAACAAAATAACGTTTTAACATATAAGTATTTATTAAAATTACAAGTAATTTATTTTGGGTATGAATTGTTAGTAAATAATTATTTACCTTTGAAATTTATATTTTTCTTATAGTCATGTAACTCGTGTTCTCCTTTAGATTTACACAATTAAACACCCATTCCGACTCATTTTATTTGCACAGTTTTTTTATTAAAAATTTAATCAACAAAAATTATTTTACCCTTTTTTACCTTAACTCATTAAGATATTTATAAAAGTCCTATATTTTATGAACAGTCATAAAAGTTATTACGAGAAATTATTTACATATCTAAATTTAGAAACCTTTGTAAACATTTTGAGATATTTAAAAAGGAATAACAAGCAAATAAATGAGACGAGGAGTAATTACTTTTCATATTGAAAAAATTAAAAAAAAAATAGATATGAAATGTAAAAAATAAAATACTGATTTTGATATTTATAATCTATTCTATATGTAATAAGTCACGAGTGTATATCTAATTGTTCATAAATGAAATAAAAAATAAATACTTGATTTTTTATAATCTATTCTATATGTAATAAGTCATGAGTGTATATCTAATTGTTCATAATTAAATCTTTCATCCTAAAGATTAAAAAAAAAATGTATCAATGGAGAAAGTTTCACTCCTCCATTATAGTTTTATAATATATGTTCATCTGATAAGATTTTACTTTTCTAGCCAGAGGGCGCTTATGACTTCAACCACACTGTTGGATTTTTCAGGCGCAAAAGCATAGAGTGGTAATTTTTTTTTTTTTTTAACTATCGGTATTTGGATCTTATTATCAGGTACCGCCGGTTAAAGCTCATCGCCCCTTCCTATAGATGCATTTTATGGAAATTGAACCCAAGAGCTCTTTCCACATGTCCAGTTTACATTATCAATTGAGCTACAACTTGTAAGTATGGAGGGGTACTTTTTGGTCTAAAGTCTAACTTAAGGTGTCATGGTCACCGTTTTGAAGCCTCTGTCTGAAATGCATGTGTTATTCAATTTCATTCCTAAAATTTGTCACTTCCAATGGTTTCGGCAACTTTCAAACTAATATCTTTCTCCATAAAGATTTATATCCTGAATTAGGAGTCAAACATATGATCTATGACTTATAAAATGCAGAAATATTGACTTCGAGTCATTCCATGTCGGAGTCTTATGAGCAGAATTTCAAAGGGATATCCTTTGATCTAAACATGCTTATAATTAGTTTAGCTTTTAAACTAATATCTTTTGCCTGTAAGATGGCCAGCTTAGGTAACTACTTCTATATGCAGAACATCATGGCTTAAGGGTTGTTAAAATTAACTGAGTCGTGCTAAGTTCAAGTTGAAATTTCTATAATTTAGCTTGAATTTGGCTCGACAAAAGATATATTTAAAAAAATAAGCTAAGTTTCAAAACTTGATGCCAATATCATTACATGGCAAAAGTACCATACATGAGCAAAGTTTAATCTTGAGCTCAAAATTTATCAAATCAAAATGACATCATTTTAATGTCAATTTAATTATCTTAGGTTATTGAGCAAGCTCACGAGATAGCATGTGAGCTCGGTTCGACCAAATTGGCTTGCAAAATGAGTCGAGCTCAAGCTTGAGCTTGTCTCATTTATTTAACAAGTTCGACAACTCAATTCAATAAATTGTTTAAATGAATTCGAGTGAGCTTTTATCAAATCGGCTCTTAAACAACTCACGAATTATTCAACTCATTTTACAGCCTTAATCATGGCCACCATGAGAACTTGTCTCATAATTTTGATGCTTTATTCTGAGATATTTATTAAATATGTTGATTAAATTAAAGATCATTTAAAATTATTTTTTAAGGTGAATTTTCAATATTTTAATCGTAAAATTATAAACCAATTAACAGTTAATCCAATTCTTAATAGCATCTTAAAACTGTGTTTTCTGTAAAAATAATTTTGAACGTTAATGTCAAAAAATCCAATAATCAAAAAGATCCAATTAGCTCTTCGGGAATGGAATTAAACAAAACAAAAATAACATTGCTTAAAGGAAGAGGAGTTCTGCTAACTACATATGAATGATACCCTTTCCCTTACTTTGAAAAACATATTTAGATTCATCTTATGCCAACCCAATTTGTAGGATTGGCCGCAATGCCTTAGCCTCCAATTACTTTCTTTTTCACTCCGTCCTTAATAATAGGCTAATTTTTCTTTTTCACCCGTGCCATAATCTGGGCAATTTCCTTTTTAAAACTACTATATATTTAATACTAGTTTATTATTATACTTTAAAAAAAAAAAATTAAACTAGAAATTTCGTTAAATAGAAATTGTATACAAATATAAAATACAGATCAATATGTTTTTATATTTTTATATAGAAAGTCTAATAATAAACCACTTATACAAAGAATAAAAAAATACAATCTTGATTTAAAGTATGTGATCGAGTTGACAGAACATAATATTTGTGTCATAGGCGATCGCTTGCTCCACTTGGTGGCTTTTCATGGCCACTGTTCGACTTCATGGTCTTTCTACAAGTCCGTTACCTTCAAATTTCTTCCTTTTATCGGAGATGAGATCTGTACTTCTTTCTGCATAACTATCCAAATAATATTAAATGTGAGATAGAATCGAAAATATACTTATTATACCCTTATGCCCTTATTTAATTTGCATTGTTATTAAGTAAATAATATTAAATGTGATATTGAAAAACCACATCACATATTAATGTTCTTTATTATTATTATTATTATTATTGCGGACAATAACTCCAAATTGTATATTGTTAATATAGTATAAAAAACAAATAAAAAAGGGGAAAGCGGTAACCACCAGTGAGAGCTCAACTCATGGTCGCTTGTAGAGGAAAGAAAGAAGAGCTTTTTAGGTTTTAGATTTTGGAGATAGAATCGAAAAATTATACTTATTATACCCTTATGCCCTTATTAATTGCATGTTATTAAGTAAATAATATTAAATGATGATATTGAAACAACCCACATCACTTATTTTAATGTTCTTTATAATATATATATATATATAAATATATAATATATATAATATATATTATATATAAATATATATATATTAATTTAGTTCCCAAAAAATATATATAGTTCCCAAAGCCTAAATGCTTATGTGGAAACATATTAGAATATGAAAATGATGATGTGACATTTTATTTTTTCATTATAATTAATTTTTTTCATAAAAATTAATTTTTTTATTAAATAATTGAGCTACAAACTAATAAATATAATAAAAGATTTCATTATAATTAATAATTTTTTTGCGTTTAATAAATATAAGTTTTTTATTAAATAGTTTTTCTTCTATTAAAAAAACGAATGGAGTTAGAGTCATAGTTAATAAAAATTAATTAAATAATATAGTTACGTTAATAAATAGAATCAAAATTAATATTTAGTTCACTAAAATTTGTTTCATAAAATAGAATACTCTTTTCATACCTCATTCTCATACCTCATCTAAATTTGAATATATAAAAATTTCAAAGAAAAAAATAAATAATTAACTAAATATATCAGTTGAATTACAATAATTTGCTTATAATAATAATTATGCTAATTAATATTTCAGTTCATTAATTGAGAATTTTAAAAAGAGAGTATAATTTTACTATTTATCATTTAATCAAAATTACATAAATAAACTATTTAAATTAAAGCAACACTAATATAAATTACAATAATTCTATTAAAAATTAAATTCAGTTTAACTAAAAAAGTTGAAAATTATACAATCCCCTACATGAATAGTTATTTACATATTTTAGAATAGTAGTAGCCAACTAGCAATAATAATAGTCTTGAATTTCTAAATGACAATTTAATATTAAATTTTTAGAATTTCTAACATAATAAAGAGAGACGTTGAATATTAAATAAGGGTATTATAGAAAAAATGCATAATTATATGAATAAAGACTATATTTTAATCAGTGTAAAAATACCTTTAGACATTATTATGCAACGAAGGGAGTATATGACATGAGAAGTATACTTCATAACAATTTTTTTTTCTCTTTTCTTTTTCCGATATTCTTTAGCCATGTTTTTTTCTCATGAAATATTCTATAAAGCATTTAATAATAGTGAAATATTTTATGGAGACATTTAACTATAATCAAAATTGGGAAAATTACCTTCTCCAAAAAAATTGGGAAAATTACTATTTTGTCTCTAAAAAATATTTAAATTAATTGGCGTATCTTTATATTCTGAAAATACATTAATATATTCTTAATTTTTATTTCTGTCATTCCATTTGATCTTTCCGTTTATATTTTATATTTTTTCGTTAAATTCTTAGCGAAAAGATAAAAATACCCTTAATTAACAAATAAATAATACTGCTCATACTCAAAAATTATATCCACCACTTTTTTACTTTAGAAAAAAACTAGCGGCAAGAATACAAAATTGGAAGATAAAAACCTTAATCATGATCCTAATCCTAAAACTCATAATCAGATAATAACAACTAACAATTAAAAAATGCAACAAAAACAAAACTAAAGACTCAAAGAAAATGGTGACAAAGTAGAACCAGATAATTCTCTCGGATTCCTAATAATAAATTACCCTTTCACCATCTACTAGGAGGACCCATCCAACAAACTATACCCATCAAGCTCAATCATTAACTTCAAAGGCCACACATCGGTCCGCCACTGATCAATGCAGAATAAGGTCTAGCCACACTACTTGTGTGGACAAGTAGACATGACCTCAATATAGTCACAACGCCATGTTAGATTTAATTTTCTATTGTGGGTTTAATATGTAAAATTAAATATGTAAAGCAGTCTAATTGTAAAGTCAATTTCAAATGGTCTTGATTGTAATAGATTGACTATTGAGGTATTTCAACTAATTCATAGATATTTAAGTGTAGAGACCATTATTAATTTCATATTCGTTAAAAAGGACCCGAAATAGGAATTGTACCTAGGACGCATACCCATTTGACGATGATATAAAGTCCGTTAAGATCCCGCCCAAGAGTGAGTTTATAATACAGTGTCAGTTTTACGTTTCCTTTTCGTTACTGCATTTTCCAGCTAAATATATCGATTACTATAAATTTCTCTGGAAGAGCGTGCATTAATCTAATTCTACACATCAAGATCGGCGGGAGTACGATTAACAAACGATGTCAGGTACGACAAAACCTTTATGTCAGGTACGCAACCTTTTTTTATTCAATCTATTTTGTTGAATCTAGTAGTTTGCATGATCTGGGTTATTATGGAATTATTTGAGATTAATTCGTAACAAGTGGTATCAGAGCCTTGTGCATAATTGCTCGATTTTAGATTGATTTTCGTATATATATTTTTTTTTGTTTTCCCTACTGTTTACGGATTGAGGGTTTTGTTTAATAAAAAAAAAAAATTTTTTTTTTTGTTTGTTCTCACTGGTTTTGTGTTTTCTTTTGATTCAATCATGTGTTGGACCCTGATTTTCACGTCGGTGGTATTTTGTTTTTTGCTGGCCGGATTTTGTTTAAATAAAATAAAATAAAATAAAAAAAACCTTTTGGCGGAAAGGAGAGGATGCTCTAAAAGCTGGGAAGCAGTTGGACGTTCCTTTAGATTAACTTGTAGGCATTTCTGGATAAAGTTCCGAGAATTATCAGAGAGAGAATCGGAAATAGAAGGTGGAATACCTTGTCCGATCCGATACCATATCGACCAAGTTTCTAAACCGGAGTATGGAAGTTTTTCGGTTAACATCTCCAAGACAGTGCAGCCAAGGCTCCATATATCAGCTTTAGTTAGTCCATATTCTCCTTGTCTTTTCGTATCAATGAACTCAGGAGCGGACCAGGCCGGAATCCCTCTGCCTGCCTTGAGGAGGTTCTGTAAATTTGTCAATCCAAAATCTGCAATTTTCAGGCCTCCATTGTTTGTCAACAGAATGTTTGCACATTTCATGTTTCCGTGGATGAAATTTCGTTCATGTAGATACTTCAAACCTTTCAGTATCTGTTTGGTGTAGCAGTACACTAGGGCATCATTAAGGGTTAGGTATTGATCAAAATAAATTGATTTGATCAATAAGTCACCAAAGTGACCTCTATTCCTTGAATTGATTTATTTTAGAGTATTAGACAGGTGTACTAGAATTCGTTGCGGATAGTTAATCGGCCTAAAGGAAGGTTGCTATTTGGCTGAGTTTTAAACACATGTTTGGCAAGCAATAAGTATGTGATAATTGTTTGATTATTTTCCATGACAATGATATATCGGTCCAAAGGAAGATTTATTATTTGTCAGGACTATGTTATCAATATTTGATTGCTGCGTTGAGATACTAATTACAAGTGAATATTTTACATCCAAAGATGAGAATATTAATGTTGAGTCTGTATCTTATTTCCATTTTTATCTCTACTTATGTGAATTGTTTCATTTGTGAATTGTGAGCTTATACTTATCTATTTGTTTATTTTCTCTGATGTCAGCTAACATGTCATTTAATCCTGATTGTGTCCCTAAACTTAAGGGATCAAATTTTGAGTCTTGGAAATCAGACATTATGATCTTTCTGGGCTGTATGGATTTGGATCTTGCATTCAGGATGGACGAACCTGCTCCTCTTTAAACAGGTAACTCGCTGAGCAAATAAAGCTCAGTGGATATCTCAACATAAAAAGGAACACTCATATATAGAAATAAGCATGTAAACACATATAGCACATATAAGCTGTTCGAGACTCTGTCTCAGCTGAAAAGAACAATGCTCAAAACTATCTTGCCGAGCTGGAGAGGGCTTATGTCAAGAATGACAAAGCCGAAGTGAGAACACTTTTAGGAAAATTAACCTCCATGAAGTTTGCTGGCAATGGTGGTGCTCGGGAGCATATTCTTAGCATGTCTCAGATTGCAAAGAGACTGAAGGTGCTGGGTATGGCTTTACCAGATGACCTTTTAGTCCATTTGGTTATGAATTCTCTTCCTTCTCAGTATGGACAAATTAGGACTTCCTATAATTGTCAGCCGAAAATGGACTCTTAACGAGCTCATTTCTCATTGTGTTGATGAGGAGGAAAAGATGAATTCTAACAAAAGAGAGAGTGCTCATTTTGTTTCTTCAGCTGAGAAGGGCAAGAACAAGAAAAGAAAGAGGCCTTCTGCAAAGACTGTTGAAAAGGCTATTGAGAAACCTGCTGTTGCTACTGCTGTAGATCCAGTACAAAAGAAGCCTTATGTGCCAAAATGCTTCTTTTGTGGAAAGACGGATCACTTGAGAAAGGACTGTCCTAAATTTGCTAATTGGCTTGCAAAGAGGGGTAAGTACCTTGACCTGGTTTTAGTTCTGTTGTGAAGTTGTGAAGTTAATTTAACTTCAGCTCCTAAAAACACTTATTGGATGGATTCTGGTGCTACCGCTCATATAAGTGTTTCATTGCAGGGCTGCCTCAACCACAGAAAGCCAACTGACGGTGAAAAATACGTCTATGTGGGAAATGGCAATCCGGTTGAAGTAGAGGCAATTGGACATTTTAGATTATGTTTAAGTACTGGTTATTTTTTGGATCTCATAGATACTTTTGTTATTCCCTCTTTTAGAAGGAATTTGATTTCTGTTTCCTTTTTGGACAAATCTGGTTTTCATTGTTCTTTTGGAGACAGTATTCACTTTATCTATGAATTCAAAAGTTTTGAGTACTGGTTGCTTGAATGACTGGTTGCTTGAATGAATGTGATAATCTATATATGTTAGACATTGATACTAGTTATCATGAATCCCTGCATGTTACTACAAGAGGTACCAAAAGAAAATTGAATATTGATAACTCAGTTGTACTTTGGCATAGACGTTTGGGTCATGTATCCAAATCAAGGATTGAGCGTCTTGTTTCTGATGGTATCTTAGATACACTTGATTACACAGGTTTGGATTCTTGTATTTTGTATTGAGTGTATTAAAGGAAAACAGACTAAACAAAAGAGACTAGGTGCCATTCGGTCATCCAATGTTTTAGAACTGATTCATACAAATATTTGTGGTCCATTCCATATTGCAGCTAGCAGCTAGAAATGGCCAAAGATATTTTATATCATTCATTGATGACTATTCTCTTTATGGTTACTTATATCTCATTCATGAAAAATCTGAGTCTTTGGACGTGTTTAAATCTTATAAAGCTGAAGTTGAAAATCAACTGGGAGAGAAGATTAAATCTGTTCGATCTGACCGTGGTGGTGAATATTATGGTAAATATGACGGTTCAGGCGAACAACGTCCAGGACCTTTTCGCTTTTCCTACAGGAATGTGGAATTGTCCCTCAATATACAATGCCTGGTACTCCCAGCATGAATGGTGTATCTGAGAGACGTAATAGGACTCTTATGCTTTATGGATCTGGTAAGGAGTATGAATTAGTCATTCTACTTTACAGAGTCTCTGCTGGGGGGAGGCGTTAAAGACCAGCTTTATCTTCTCAATGAGGATCCATCTAAAAAGCAGTTGCTAAACCCTTATGACTTTATGACTTCAGACGTAAGCCTAAGTCCTAGCATTTCATCGTTTGGGGATGTCCCAGCTGAAGCAAGTGCTTACAAGCCGAATGAAACAAAACTGGACCTCCAAATTATAGCAGCTACTTTGTTTGGATATTCTGGCGGTCTGAAGGGGTTACAATTTTATACTCCTACTTCCAAGCACTTTTTTTTGAAACGAAATTGCACAATTTTTTGAGGGATGTTGATTTTTGGAGGGGAAATAAGAAAGAAAACATTGTCTTTTGAGAGGAACCACCGTAGGATGATTCACGGTTCTGCATTCCTTTTTGTTGTTCTGATGCGTACAGACTCCAGTTGCTCTGTCGCTATTCAGATCCCATTCAAGAAATGCTCATTCTTCCTCAAGAACAAATTCAACAACCTCAAGAATTAAAGAGCTGTTCAAATGCCTTTTGAGGAGCTCCTACTAGGGAAGCGAAGAAGTGCTATTCCAGATGATTATATAGTGTTTCTTCAGCGACATGAGGATCTGTAAGACATATAGATGATTGCTCCCAGTTAGTTTTTCTATCAATGCCCTATGTAGAGTTGACTCCCATAAGTGGATTGAGGCAATGAACGAAGAGTATAAGTCTATGCAAGACAATCAAGTTTGGTTGGGATCTTGTTCAATTACCTGAAGGAAAGAAACCCATTGGTTGCAAATGGATATTTAAAACCAAAAGGGATTCTCAAGGTAATGTGGAAAGATATAACGCACGTCTTGTAGCAAAAGGCTTTACTCAAAAGGAAGGGACTGACTATAAAGAAACCTTCTCTCCAGTTTCTTCGAAGGATTCTTTTAGGACAATCATGGACTTAGTTGCAAATCTTGATCTTGAGCTTCATCAAATAGATGTTAAGACTACGTTTCTCAATGGCAACATTGATGAAACAATATATATGGTGCAACCAGAAAATTTTGTAATTGGAGATCCAAAACATCTGGTATGCAAATTAAAGAAATCCATTTATGGACTCAAGCGAGCTTCTCGTCAATGGTACTTTAAGTTCAACTAAGTAATTGTCTCGTTTGGCTTTGAGGCAAACTTTTGAGGCAAATGCTGTTTTTGAAAATTGTGTGTACCATAAGTTCAGTGGGAGTAGGTTTATGTCTTTTTTGGTCTTATATGTGGATGACCATACTTTCTTGCTACTAATTGTAAATCTTGCTGCTGAAACCAAAGTTTTTTCTTTCAAAAGCATTTTGAGATGAAAGATTTTTTAGGTGGAAGCTTCTTTTTTTTTAGGGATTCAGATAATCGAGACCCGTTCCCTCCGAGGGATTCTTGGATTAATCACAAACAGAGCTATATTGATAAGTGCTCAAAGAGATTTAGTATGAGACCATTGGATACCCCTATTGCAAAAGGTGATAAATTTAGTAATCAACAATGTCCAAAGAGTGAACTTGAAATTTAGGAAATGCAAAAGGTTCCTTATACGTCAGCTATAGGAAGTCTTATGTATGTTAAAGTTTGTACTCGTCCAGACATTTCTTTTATAGTTGGCATGTTAGGTAGATATCTCAGCAATCTAGGAATGGATCATTGGAAAGCAGCCAAAAGAGCCATGAGATATCTTCAGAGGACTAAGGGACATATGCTCACATATAGGAGATCAGATATAGGAGATCAGATCAGCTTGAGATCATTGGGTATACTGATTCTGATTTCGTTGGATGCCAAGACAGTAGAAAATCCACATCTGGCTACGTTTTCTATTGGCTGGCGGTGCTATTTCTTGGAAGAGTGTGAAACAAACTCTAGTAGCAACCTCTACCATGGAAGCTGAATTTGTAGCATCTTATAAGGCATCCAATCAAGCTATTTGGCTGAGAAACCTTGTCAATGGGCTGCGTGTAGTAGGTGGAATAGAAAGACCACTGAAGTTGTATTGTGACAGCAGGTCAGCCGTTTTATTCTCCAACAACAACAGGAGCTCTTCTTCGCAACAACAAACAGGAGCTTTTCTCCGATCAAAACCCCATTGAGATTAAGTTTCTTGGCTTCGTGAAGGAGAGGTACAGGTGACAGAATATCCTTAGAGCATATTGGAACAAACTCTATGAAATTGCGGATCCGCTTACAAGACAGTGATACGAAAGGTTTTCCATGAGCCACATGATAACCGCTCATATTGGAGTATGTTTTGTTTGCAGACTGTCTAGTTTTAGTTGGGAGTTTTTGCTCTTTATGTTACATATGGTTTTTGAATGCTCTAATTTTGTTTGGATATATTTTTATTATGAAATTGTATGTTGAGTAAAGCTCATTTTGGTTGATGGATTTACACTCTGTATTTATTATTATTGTTCTGGCTTGTCTCACTTTTGTTGGTGACCAGTTGGAACAGAGCATGATTGAGCACATTGCATGTAGTTTTCATGCTAACACTTCTATATGATCTATATCAATTTTAGGCG